CAGAGCATCAATATCAATTCCAACATGTCGGCCCTTGCTATCACAGTTTTTAAGGCTAAAGTCCCCTGAAAGAAATTTACTGAACTATCGTTGACACTTACGAACGTCCAAAACATTTCCATAAACTTCTTTGATAATATTTGTGGCTACAGAGGCGTTGTTTCCTTTCTTGTATTCAAACAGCATTACATGCAGAATGTGTGTCTCGTCGTGTGCCATCACTGTAAGGGATTACAGTATACTAAACTTTACACATTATATAGGCTACACTAACATGACGTTTAGGTGGTTCGTTTTAACTATTATACGTGATGTAGGTTTTTTGGGGGATGGTTAATGAAGTGTTCCAAAACACGACATTAATTTCTTGAGGACCTAATATTTTTTTACAAACGGATACAAAGCTTATCTGTGTATACAGCCGTCCCAATTATGAGCTGACAGACTAAAGGGAAAGTACCTAGCCCAAAGCACCCACCGCCAACGCTTGAGCTACTCCTTTACTATACCCACGTGCCTAGATCGGACTCCATTCTTTGAGGCCGTGGGTGTTATATACGAGTAACGATCACATTCCACTATTCAACTGGTAGCCTAAGAGTTGATGGTGGGTGCTGTTGACTGACTATCTTCCCCCTTCTAGTCTGTCAGTACTAAACCAGGAACAGTTAGCGAAGATATTCCTTGTGTAGCTTTGCGCAAATTTTCAAAACAACTAACTCATATGGCGCACCAATGGGAATGGGACGTGAGCCATGAATCCTTGGATTCATAGTCTGGGAACGCTAATCCTATGAAATTCCCGGACCGAAAATTAAAGAATATTGTAAACTGTAACAAGGTGAGAATTAATTTAATTATGAAATTTATATGTTTATGATTAATTGTAAAAAGTTGTTTGAAATCAGATCGAGCTCAGTGGTCGGATAATATATTACTTCCATCAGAATAAGTAAAAACCGTAAAAGTTGTAGTTGAATGAACAATAAACTCATATAAGAACATTTTGATTTTTCAGTTTATTTTATAATTTATAATTTTACTGTCATCATTTGTGTTGAATTGAAGCTCTTTTTGGACAAAATTGTATTTTATATCAAAGCACAAAATACAAAATTTAAAATGTAGTACCTCTAGAAAAAGTCTTTTCTTTTACATTAGTCTTTGCTTAGGCTTAGGCACTGCTGAAAAAATTAAATTAAAACAACTTAATTTTATTTTGTATAAGTTTCATACTCACTGAGAAAAAAGGATCTTGTTCATACAGGTTCAAGTTATCGTGAGGAAAGAGATCTTGAACTCTATCCAGATCAGTTTCTTCCATTGCGGATTCTCCTCTTCGCACCATCTGTAAGACAAGCAAAACATATCTGCAAAAAATAGTTTTGTCATGCAGATAAGTGTTTAATTTTTACAATATATTTTATTACCTAGATTCTGAGATCTGTTTTTTGTAACTTCACAAAAAGCATTTTTTGTTCGTACTATTACGGAAAATATCATATAAATTGCATGTTTTTCACTATATGGCACTTAGAGCTTGTTACAAGCTTATTATTATTATTTGTTGTTGTTTTAGAAAAATATTTATTTTTGTTCACACTGCTACGGAAAATACAATTTGAATATTACTACCTTACTTATATGTCACAAGATGGCTATGTCAGTTTGATATACGCTAATTATTATTTTCAAATTTAGTTCAACATTTAATTTAAGAATAAATTTTTGATCGGAAATAAAAATATAATCCTTTTATTATTTAATTTATGCGCTGATGCAAACAAGGTCAGAAGGCCACTGCATTTTTTCTTTTTCTATTTGAAAGCGAATAAAAGATTAATTCAATGTTCGTACATGGTTCTTACCTTCGGTAATTAGTCTGTAAGTAATCATGTAAAAATAGTTAAGAAATATAAGTCCAAAATTCCACGGCTGAAATACATAAAACAATTCTTTTTCTTCCTATAATGTTAAATATTCAACTATAGTTTTATCTATCTAATTATCTAATATTTTACTAAACAGACATGTAACAGAAAAAGTACATTAAATGTAATTAGTTATTTAGATTCTTACATTCATTGCTTTTGATGTTGCCCGCCAGCGATCGCTAAAGTCCGGATGTTCTTCAGGCGTTTGTGCTGCCACCTGGGAGAGAATACTTTCATACTGGGCTAGCCGTTCAAGCTGTAATAAAAGAAATAGCGTTTTATCATATTACCATACTTTTATTACAAAGCAAAGCTAAAAATTATATATTATTAACGTAATTCATGCAATATTTATATAAATGCCTTATGTATACACACATATGTGTGTGTGTATGCGTATACATACTCCTCTGCCTTTTGCGTAAAGCCTTAACATTCCTGGAGCAAAACAAACCAGGTGTATTGCATGTTTTTATCTTTAAAATATCATATAGGTTCAAAGTACGACTATTCCTTTCAAGAAATCATGTGTCAATACTTTACACAGACATATTTAAAGGCCAAATGTAATTTTGTGTTTTTTCTTCTTTCATATTTTTATTGATAATAATATTTGTGATAACCAATTCTTTTGTACACTCATTTTCAGTTTCATATATGATCAATTCTTTCAAACCAAAATTTAGTTCGCTATCACGCCTCCAAAAACGTTATGATTACTTTTATCGATAATGATGAGAGTAACAAGTCTAGCATTCCAGTTTTGATCTGGACAGTGTACTCGATTCTATGGCCTTATAATAAACGTATGGATTTCCTAAACAGAAAGAACAGTCACAGTTCGAATATGATTAAAATGTCTGGTCATTTAAACGGTTTATTATGAAAATGTTTAATGACAATTCACGGCAATGTCCCTAAGACACAACAACGGAATTTTTAATATTTTATTTAGATTCTAATGCATAACTAAGTATAACAGTATAGTAATCACACATTATACTGGCATGATCTGGTTATATTTACACATTGTGCACGTGTTGCATTCTTTGAACTTAACAGCAATAATAGATCGAGCAATATCCTCTGGGGTTCAAATCATATCCAACAACTGAAACAATACAATTGTTTGTACGTTAAAAGAAAAAGACAATTAAAATCTTGTTCAGAGAACAAATATACGTCATCTGATTTCATTGTCACTAGGCCACCTCTACAAAGAACATTTCCGAGTATTTACGTAGTGATTTTCCTGTTTTTCAGCTAAAACATCCAAACTTTAGAGAAAGCACTAGTCAACGCCGCTCGGTTGCTATAGTTTACATATTACTCCATACGCATGCGCCCCTTGTTTTGTTTATTCCTGAAGACCAATTTGCTTCGTGCAAACATCAAAACATGTTTACATGTTTAAAATACACTATAAAGCTTAGTTCTCAATACAATCGATGACTTTTTCGTTTTTGATTTTGATTATCAGAGCGGAACGTGTTCAAATTCCACAAAGTCTTTATATTATGAGAAAGCAGTCCAAACAATAAGAAGAAAAAAATAGGCGGCACTGCTATCGTCGTTACTAAGGTCAAACGAAAAAATTAATATATTATTTCATTGTCTACGTGCAAACTAATTAGGTTATACAAAATATAAGCACGCAAACTAATTTAAATTTGGAGACCAACAATCGTGTTTCAACCTGTTGAAAAAAAAAACATAAATAAATAACACGCTTGATAAATATTCAAGTTTAATAGATATTGTATAAAACAAATTTATTATACACGCAAATGAATAAAATTCGTGGCCTCGATATAGCAGTTTTATCTACAATATCAGTCTACAGCCGCTACTATTATTTAATAAAAGTAAAATACTTAAAACATCAAGGTCGAGTGCGTTTTTTGGTCAATTAGATCTCTGTTTAAATATAAATTTGGAACGAAGTTACACTGTGTACAAGACTTTAAAATCATGGTCACTGAACATGTCCGAGACATTTGTTTTACTTTGTAGTGTTTCTGATTCGCTATGCTTCAAAAGTAAATGAAAGTTTCAAACTCACAAAGTTATGATCATGATTTTATGTTTAATCTTCTGCTAGAGTCGTCCCTAATTTTGAACTACGAGAACAAATGAAAGGCGGCTAATTTTAACCAACCACTTACTCTTGGACTTCTCTAATCGAATTTGACCTTAACCATTATAAAGTACACACGGCCTCAAAGTGCGAGTGCGATTTAGCGGCAACGATTCACGAACCATGGACTTTCGGGCACACAATACAGCAACGCCAACAACCAGTTGAACTATGTGTTCAAGTTACACAGTTCCTTTGTAGGTTAAAGTGATTCCATTAATAAGAAACATACAACACCACCATCGTCGTGTCTAAGGTCAAATAGATAACACAGGTCTGCGAATTTAAACTTCATAAAAGTTGTTTTCGTTCTAATAACGGATTTTCAATAATTCAGCAACACAAATTTCGAAAATAATATTCATTTGTTTTAACACGTAAGGATTTTGTACAAATCGGGAAGGAAAAAACTCTTACTTAGATCAAATTATTATTTCGTTTACCACAACGAACATTTTTTATTACTATGTTTGTTATGTTTGTGTTCTAGAACGATCGATAAGACTCGCACGTCTCGATTGGTCTAGAGAAACCTATAACCAGTGGTTGTCAACATTCTAAGCATAACAAAATGTGACCCGATTTCAATGAAAATGATTCACTTATGTAAAAGTACATATAACGTTTTGTGAAAAATCTGTAGGTGATGAATAAAAATGGATATCATTTTCGGATTCAGCGTACAGGAATTACTGTGGAACATGTAAACATTTCAGTCAATAAAACCATCGTAGGCTTGTGTAATCTAATGTATTCTTTCATTTTCAATCAGTGAACTAACAGATTCATATTCAAGCTCCAAAACACAGGCAAACAAACTAATTTAAGATTAATAAAGATCCTCTGTGTAACTGAGATTCCACATCATTGAATGATGAGAGTCGATGGAGCTCGAAACTACAAATTAAAGCCAGATATGATATGGGATACGATATTAAATACGAACGTGTATGTCTTATTACAAATCACAAGTTATAATTATTATCTTTTCTTGTAAAGCTACGATCGATTTGTCAGCCATCTTCTTGCAAAATTAAATTTCACACCAGCTTACATGATATTTAATTACTTTTGTGCATTCTATGAATATTTCATTACACATCACTGGAAATGTTTGGCAGAATCCTGACCCACATGTGCCGCCTCAAATACCTTCCAGGGCACGAGGCATAGAGGTCAATCGACTTCTCTCTAATAAACAAAAAAAAAAGGCTACACCTTATGGGTGAATATGAATATGGCTTCTCTGATGCAGAGGAACGTGAGTCAGACGATAAAAGCCACGTTTTAATCATGGTTTTGTTGCAGACATTATGAATATAATTTCAATTAACAGAATTAAGAAAGCTTTACTCAGTCTTGGGGCATATGACTCGCAATCTGAGGGTCTCAAGTTCGAATCCGCGTCACCGAACTAGCGGACTGGGCCAGCCACCCGAGTGTACGAAAACAAAAACAAAAAAACTCTTGACTTACAAAATTACAAGCCGACCTCCCCCCCCCTCCAAAAAAAACTAGGTCGTTAAAAAACAAAGATGGAACTGCATCATTATAATTACGTGAGAACAAACGTGTCATTCCATTTTTCATTTTATAAGTTTCCTTTACTATTTGAATTTTTAAAAATTTAAATTTTAGGCCCTTTACACGTTACTAAGGAAAGCATGTTAAAGATTGGACTTAGAACTTCGTGTTTTAGACATTTCCTAATTACATCATGCATTTTTACTTTATATATTTTTGTTATGTAACAATAATGCATTTTCAAAAAAAAAAAACATTATCTTATCACTAAAGTTACATTCAATAATTAACTGTACTGATGACCCTTTGGTATTCAAATGTTAACTAATGTATATATATCATTTTTGTTTAGGCAACTATGATTATGGAGATATCATTTTTGACCTACCAAAACTACACATCACTGTACACATTACAGTATTTTATTCACATTAGGTACGGTAGAGCCAACGAAGTTTTAACAGCTATTATATTCTTACTGGAAACCCAAATAGGACTAGTAAAAAGAAACTTGATAAAAAATCATTTTCATAGAAACTGCTCATATAACATAAGCGTTATAGACCATAATAATTTAAAGCTCCAAAGTGTTAACGAAAACCCGTATTAAACTACCAGGAACGATAGACGAAGTGCACACGCTTGGATAAATAGTGTTTCTTAATATCTGTCTTCTCATAATATGGAATATTGTATTAACCAGTCTTAAACCTTACCTTATTTTACTCCTTCTTTGTTTAATCATAGTATTTATGATAAGTTATAAGTAGTCCTAACAAATTCCATAGGCTTAACAGTTGAAAACATAGTAACTTTTAATCTTAAAAAAAAACTGCTATGGTTAGTCTTTAACTTAACGTTTTGCCAGCCTAGCTTTTAACTAAAAAAAATATGAATTTATTTTTGAAACTTAAAACACTAACGTAACTTATGAACCTGAAAACATTCGATTTTAGAGTGTTAATATTAATACACCAGCCCCGTGGCGGGTAAGTTTATAAAGTATTTAGATTTTCTTCTATAAACTGTAGTGTACATAAATACTTAACTTGAACTGTTTGTTACCGTTTCACAGAATCCTTTAGAAAAGTATAAACATATTTTCGACTTTCAAAGAATCATTTTAACATTTGAGGAACAGATTTTTTTAAACTATAAAATAATATCTAATGCATTTCGGCGACTTTTCTTTTCGCGAGTTCTTTGGAAAAAGTGATCATCAAAGTAATATCAGTATGGAGTTTTCTCTTAATTCTTTCAGCATTCAGAAAGTAATTTTTTAAAATACTAAAGTGGTTTCTGACCTTTATACTGGTCTAACACACGTGTTAGTATAATAAATGTTACCCGTTAGCTCAGCGATAAACTTGAACAGTTACAATGCTAAAATTCGTAGTACGATCCTCACGGCGCAGAATGCCCATTGCGCATCTTCGTATTAAAACTAAACAAACAAAGTAACAAAAACTGTTCTCCGCGTTAAGCACTCTTTCTTTAATTTTGAGCCTATATCAGGCAATAGTGTGCTGAAAAATATAAGAACAAAGCTCGCAATTCTTGGCGCAAAGAGATACACAATAGATTATATGCACTTT